CAGGTTGGAGTGCAGTCATGCGATCATAGCTCACTGCAGCCTCGAGCTCCTGGGCTCAAGCAATCCTCCCACCTCAGCCTCCCAAGTAGCTAGACAAATCATTTCTAAGCAGGGAAGGAGTTTCTGAATGACTTAAGGGGTGTTCTAGAGTCTCTCAAACCTGAGTTACAACAATTGTGTGGTGAAAAGGCTGCTGAGAATTCTTGAGCATGAGGTAAAGAATGAACTTTTGCCATGTTAATATCCATAATTAAAGCCAATGGGAGGATTTATGTTTTCCAGAAATGGCTTTTTGGAAAGATTTGATGTTCAGCAGTCCTGAGATCCAATGCACATTTGTCTTACATTAAAAAATACCATCTCAGAGAAACATCAGTTCATGATTTAAAGGAGAAACAGTATTCGGGTATTTAAAAGGCGCGCGCGTGTGTGTGTGCGCGTGTGCGTGTGCGTGTAAAAAGTTAAAATAGCAAATCCTTTCTGGATTTCAGAATCCAATTGCTCAGGATATGCATTAGGCTCAGGCTTGAAAGGAGAATTTTGCTAAATGTCCGTTAGGTCTCTGATTACGTGTCTCTTCTCCAGACATGCACTTCCTTCTCGTGGAGTCTCAACTAGACAACTGCATTAATCTTCTCTCAGCTCTATATGTTTTCTTCATACAGATCAGAGCCTGTAATTATCTTATTTGTCCTTTTGTTTCCTGCTCTACCGTGCAAGAGAGTTCTACGAAAATAGGAACTGCAGACAGCCTTATTCATAATTTTATCCCCAACGCCTAGCAGAATGCACCCACTGTATACAGTGGAAGGTGACCAATAAATACTTGTTGAGTTAATGGTCATGATGAGATAGACATAAAAAGAGTGCCTCTGTAATAGTGTGTTGAAGTCTTGAAAGAAGAAATGAAAAGGGAAAGATACCAGGTAAACTGATTTCTAAGGTAAAGATTAGATCAGCTCATCAATAAGGTTATTTAGAATATCGGAATAGATGTGGGATATAACTCCTCATATTATCTCTTTGTGTGGCATATACAGCGTTATGGAGAGATCATGGGAATATGTCTACTTCTTGTGTTGCTGAAGCCATGTTGACCAGGGCCTGGTGTATGTGGAGTACACAGTCAGAATACAGGCAGTACAACATGTTTGCTCTACAAACTGCCCCATCCGAGTAAGAGAGGGAGTTTCTATTAATGAAAGGAGTTCCAGGCACAAGAAAACCATGCTGTACCTTTTAGGGCCTCCTCTGAAGAGCTTTGCACTATGGAACTAAAGAAACACCATTCGTTATTAAGCCCATAATATCCATAGTATGTATCAGGCATCTAACACTTTTTTTTTTTTCTTGAGACGGAGTCTCGCTCTGTTGCCCAGGCTGGAGTGCAGTGGCGCAAACTCCACTCACTGCAAGCTCCGCCTCCCAGGTTCACGCCATTCTCCTGCCTCAGCCTCCCAAGTAGCTGGGACTACAGGCACCCGCCACCGCGCCCAGCTAATTTTTGTATTTTTAGTAGAGACGGGGTTTCACCGTGTTAGCCAGGATGGTCTCGATCTCCTGACCGCGTGATCCACCCGTCTCGGCCTCCCAAAGTGCCGGGATTACAGACATGAGCCACCACATTATGGCATAACACTTTTATCATAATTAATCATCATGAAAATGCCAATAAGCAGGTGCTATCTCCATTTCTCAAGGGAGGGAACTGAGGGTCACTGCCATCTACCCAAGGCCATCATGGGATTAAGTGAAGGTTCTTTGACCCCAGAACTTTGACTTGACTTGAGGTATTAAGTGGCACCAGTTGGGGGATCCATACTATTGGATTACAAGAAGAAAAAGCACCTCCACAGTATATCTGGGGTACTTGTTTTGATTTTCTTTGTTTTTGAATTTTTGCAATTCTACTAGGTATTTTTGCAATTCTACTAGGTAGCCTGTGTTTTAATGCCCATTCTATCTCTAACTAGCCTAACACCAAGATGCAAGTTTGAAATCGAAATTTAGGAAACATGCAGACAGTCAGGGCACTGAACTCTCTATTTTCTAATCTTTAAAATGGACACGGTTGTTCCTAGTTCATGGCACTCTCATGAGGCTCAAATTAAGACAGTGGGAACAAAAGAGTATTTTTTCCTTCCTTCTAAATAATTTTCTAAGTTAATTGGAGAAAAAAGATAATTAAATTAAATTTCCATCCCTTATTCTTAAGAGGAGATCAAAGCTTGACTTCTGTAGTTTTAAATTTGAAAAAAGGCACTTACTGGTCTAGTGCCTATTTTATTCGCAGTTTCTGATTGTCTCATGAATATATGCCAGCAATTTCTTCACAGGAAAGCTGGTTTTTTCCCCCTGCTGGTTGCCTCTTACAGCTAATTGTATTTAAGGGGGGAAATTAGATGTTTAGAAATGCTCATTGGCCCCCGACTCATTAATAGGCCCTCCTTATTCTATTGTATCCGGTAGAAGAGTTATAAGTATGTCATTCCCGCTCCTCTCTCTTTTATTTTTTTTATTATTTTTTTTTGACATAAGAACCGTTTTATTTTAATCACTTAACACTTGTGCATTATTCAATTTTGAGATTGAAATACTTGTTTCCCTTTCAACTGATTAGGAAATGGTCTGAGTTGGCAGAAGTTAATCCTCACATTATTCAGCTAATGAGACACAGAACCTTAAAACCTGATTCCAACTTCCGCCTGAACCTCACAATGCAAAGCAAAGCCTTTCATTTTAATGTTGTACAAGTATAAGGACAATGTAATCTGGATTAACTTTAGGTAACAATAACTTAAGATAGGAAAATGTATCATATTACAGAGATTTAAAAATTGACTATACAATAAATGAAGAAGAAAACTAACAATAAAACAGGACAATGTTCAAATAGCGAATACAATGAACAAATGGGGCCAAAAGATCAACATTTATCTCTCATCATCTTTCTTGCAATGTCTCAGCTTTCTTCTCCCAAACATAAAGGCAAATTAATTCAAAGTAGCCCTATTAAGAATATTTGTTTATCATGCCTGTAATCCCAGCACTGTTTGGGGAGGGCCCAGTGGCGGTTCACCTGAGGGTGCAGAGTTCGAAGACCAGTGCCTGACCAATGATAGTGAAACTCCGTCTCTAGGGAAAGAATTGTGTATAAAAACTTAGCTAGGTAGGGGCAGCATTACCGCTGCGTTCGAGCTACTCAGTCGCGCCGCGCTCGCGACAGGCGGGAGCTCTCTGCGGTTGAAACCCACGGAGGCGGAGGGTGCACGTGAAGCGCGAAATCGCACTTACTGCACTCAGGCCTGGGCAACAGAGCGAGAACTCTGCGTTTCAAAAAAAAAAAAAAAGAAAAAAAAAAAGAATAGTAAATATAAATGATTGAACTCACATCAACCTCTACTTACAAACAAGAACTAGAATAAATCAACAACAACAACTTGTAAGAACCAACCTTCTGTACGGTTGATTGTCACCACTGTAACAGGGGCAAGGAATCTTAGGTGGGTCACTGTTTTTAAGGATGACTTGAAGATTTTACAGTAGTACCTTAGATCCCCCCACAGATGCAAACTCTTCAAGAATTTTTTATCAACTAGAGGTTGAGGAAAGATGACACGTGAGAAATAAGATGAAGATGTGTTCTATTACACATATGAAGGCCCAGATCATGCCTAAATTCTAATGATTTAACTTAAGGAAAGCTCCTTGTCTGAGAGATTCCTAACCCACAACACACATCAGATGGCGCAAGAGAATTCCCAGGACACTACCCAAGCCACAGGGTAAAACACAACCTGTCTTCTACTGCACCAACAGCATAATATCTAGTAACACCGGACTGACTTTAAAGTTGGTTAACGAGTATTTCAAATCCATTTAAAATGAAACTTAGAAAAGGTACATGCAGTCTGACACAAGTTACGTTACTTAGTTCCTTTGGTTGAGTGGAACTTGGAATGTTGGCTCCGCCATTTAGGTGTGTCGACGAATGCTTTGTATGGGATTAGGAGCAAATGAATCAAGTATTATTACCTTGTGAGTACGAAAGCAATGTTTATGTTGTTTGGTAAAGCTCGCATGGTGACTCTGGCCGTAGTTATTTAAGTAAACCATAAAATGTGCGTTTGAAGCAGTGAGGGCTGACATCTTCAAGGTTGCGCTGTGCCTGGAAAAGACGCTGTTCGAATCCTGCTGTGCCAAGGGCTCACAAAGGGTCACCCTTCACTTTAAAGCCAAGACTGCCATTGTCACTGCTATGGTAAGTCAGCCAGCCCAGGGCCTGCTGGCAGAAACAGGGAATACTATCCCAGCCCACTAGAAATATCAACGGAGAGGCTGGTTGTGAGTAGTACACAGTCTTTAAGATGCGGCGTTACTCGAACATGTTTGGACAATTCACGGTCGTGTTCTAGCTTGTTGATACCGCTGCACGCTGCATGTTGCTTTACTCGGAGATGACGGAAAAAAACTCCATCAGTTTCAAGAAAGTCTGTGTGTTTTTGTTTCATTTAGAGAGTCCAGCATCCAAAGGCTAAGAAGCAGTTTCGGAGGTTTAGCATCCAGCTCGCGCATCCCTCTGGAAGCTCGCTACGTCTTTTTCAAAGGAAGTTAGTCCTTTCGCTTTCCAGTGGAGAATATTCTCCAGTTGAAAGTCAAAATGGGATTTCGACTCTTAAAACCTGACTAAAAACCCAGTTCCAGCCATAAGTCTGGTCTGCACAAACTCAATGTATTGCTTCTATTTCAGGGTGCCAATTCATCCCAATTAGCTTCACAGGCAAGGCTCCTCAGTGAGGAGACTCCTGTTCTAGTCGAACAGCACTTGATATTATTCTCGCTTTACTACTCTCTCGCTCGTGATGGTTTGTGTACCGAGGTGTTTGTGAACCATTCAGGCAAGCAAATCACCAGTTTAAAGGCCCGTCATCTGCTGAGTAAGCTGTTCACTGGGAAATGTGAGGGCCAGCGGCATCAGTCCTCGTTTGTGTGAGCCAGGACTATCGATGCTGTTGTGCTCTACAAAAGAACCGAAAAGAAGATGCGCTTCGCACGGTGCCGCAAAGGCGGGTAGACTCATCCATAGTAGCCCCTTTCTTTGTCCCCATCCAGCGGCTCCGACGGGCGCCCCAGATCTGCCCTTCTTCTTGACCCAGCGAAGGCATCGTTTCATATGGGATTGAGAGGAAATTCCCTTTCTTTGGGATCTTTTATGTAAGTGTCAATAAGAAGACTATACATTTCAGAATGTATGTTTTCCATGGCAATTTGGAAGCCATAGAAACAGCGGGCTTCTGTAATCTGAACTTCTTGGCTAAATCGCTCCACCAAGTTTTCATTTACTATGCCATCGCTTGCTGCAAAGAAAGCCAGAACATGGAATATAAAATATCTCTCCTCGGGCTTCAGGGATTCCCAGTGCTGAATGTCCTTGGACAGGTCCACCTCCTCGGCGGTCCAGAAGGAAGCCTCCGCCTTCTTATACATCTGCCAGATATCGTGGTACTCGATGAGGAAGATGACAAAGCGGCGGGGGTTTTCTCTCAGCAGCGGTTCATACTCCACGCCGGGGGCAGCTGCTTTAGTTTTCGGCTCCGCGGGCTCCTGGAAGATCCTCCTCGCGGTCTTGCTGGCCAGGACGCGGGCCCCGCTCAGGGCTGGCGGCGTGTTCTCCTTGTCGACCAGGCTTAGCCCCTTCAGCGGCGAGAGCTGCAGCTGCTGCGGGTTCGTGATGGGCGCCAGCGGGATGCGGACAGAGAGCATAGTGGCGGCGCAGCGAAGTACAGCGACAGGCCAGAACAGCAGGATGGCTGGGACGCGAAGCACCTCCTCTCTCTTTTAAAAGACTTTTGAGAAAGACCAAGCCACAAGTACACACTGCAGATCATCAAAAGCCGGCACCAATTTGGCTAATGGTGTGTACTTTGTTTTCAGATTCTCTTAATACTTTAAGCACTTAACTGGAGCCTAGGTTCATTTTGAGCTCTAGCTTGTGGTTTCCAGGCAAAAGCAGCCCATCTGACTTTTAGTGCCCCTGTCTGTGAGTTGATAAGACCGCCTGGAGTCTCTAAACTCCTTTAAGTGCTAAATGTCAAGCTGGAATTGGGTATCTCTGGCCGAACAATGTGTGTTGTTTTAAAATGACTCCTTAATATGAAGAGGTTTCCAAGTGCACTAATGTCAGGGGTATTTAAACAGGGTAATGGGGGTGTCTTTGAAATGCCTTTTTAGTTGGCAACTTAATAATCTCCCTCTTGTTCAAATATTATTTTCACCACAGTACATCTGATACTCTCCGAAAGTTAAACAAGTCATTCAGGAAAATGGGATTGAGTTATGACAAGCTGAACAGAAGCCCTGAAAGGTCATGGGCTCATTTCTTCATTTATGGTAAGATGTCCTTCTCACCTCTTTTTGTCAGTCCTGCTTAGGAGATAGTGAAGAATTTTACCTATAGATAAACAGGAAAATGACTTGTATCCAATTGCATCTGTGAGGCAAGACTTTGAATATGTAAAGAGCAATGTCTGCATACAGTTTATTTTTTTCTCTACCTAATGCTCTGGAAATAAGGAGATGGAGGAGTTGTTATCTGTGTGAGAGTGAAACATGTAATGCAGAAAAATACATATTGTATTAGTCTGTTCTCAGGCTGCTAATAAAGACATACCCAAGACTGGTTAATTTATAAAGGAAAGAGGTTTAATGGGCTTCCACATGGTTTGGGAGGTCTCACAATCATGGCGGAAGAGCAAGGAATGTCTTACATGGCAACAGGCAAGAGAGAGAATGAGAACCAAGTGAAAGGAGTTTCTCCTTATAAAACCATCAGACCTCGTGAGACTTATTCACTACCATGAGAAGAGTATGAAGGAGACCGCCCCCATGATTCAATTGTCTCTCACCGGGTCCCTCCCACAACACTTGGGAATTATGGGAGCTACAATTCAAGATGAGACTTGGGTGGGGACACAGCCAAACAATATTACATATAACAATTAAACTGTGAAGCAGAGAGGAGCCTGGGAACACCTCTGCTCCTAAAGTTTCCCAGATGTTCAGGGAAGACCTGCAGCCCCTCCCAGACCTGCCCTGCCCAGACCGGAGCCACTATCATGTGAAGCAAAACTGCAGCCCCAGGAATCACCTTAGCTACCCCCAGAATATGTGTTCCTTCTCAGTATTTCCCCTGAGCTGTATTCATTCTCCATCACTCAGAGACTCCTATTATTTTTACTCATTGGTTTCAAAAAGTCTCTAATTATAGAAGAAGGACTGTGATAATGAGATCAGATTATCAGAATCTAAGACCTATCATTAATATAGTAATGTAATCCACAAATGTTTTAATTCTGAACTTCAACTAAAAATAAATTTCAGGTCGGGCACAAAGGCTCAAACCTATAATTCCAGCACTCTGGGAGATCGAGGCAGGAAAATGACTTGAAGCCAGGAGTTTAAGACCAGCCTGGGCAACATAATGGGATGTCTTCTCTGCAAACAAATGTTAAAAATTAGCCAGGCATGGTAGAGGTGTGTGCCTGTAGTACCAGCTACTCAGGAGTCTAAGACGGATAATTGCTTCAGTGCAGGAAGTCAAGGCTGCAGTGAGGCTGTGATGGCACCACTGCACTCCGGCCTAGGCAACACAGGTCTTTATTTAAGACCCCGTCTTAAATAAAATAAAATAAAATAAAATAAAATAAAATAAAATAAAATAAATAATTTCACATATATGTGAATACACTTTTATATACACTTAAATTTCAGTTTCAGAAGAGAAAGTCTTAGGATACTTATTCTTTTCTGGCTATGGCTTCCTAGCGAATAAGATGGGAGTAAAAAATGAAAAACCTTGCCTATCTTCTGGGTGTTTTGAAAAGTTGGCATATTTGATATTACTTAGACCAAGTTCCTGGTGATTCATGGGTACAAGGGAGGAGAGATGGGGAAGGTGAGAGGGCTGGGAACCGGAAGGTAGGCTATTGGTCTCTGACCTGGACTTCCCAACAACGTGGCCTGAGATCTTGGCATTTATGTTTCTATCTGTTCAATACGGATGATAGGATTGTACCAATGCCCTCATGAAGATGTTTGAGGCAGCTGAGGAGACAAGAGGCTCGAGATGCGTTGCTGTTTTGGTCACTCTTCTTGCTTAATAAGGCCCAGAACCAGTAGGGGCTGCGGCCACTCAACTCCAAGAGCCCCAGTGCAGCAGCGAGCTGTGCAGTTGGAGAGTTCCCAGGCACACCCACCTTCCCTGGTGTAGGCCCTTGTAAATGTTACTATTACCAGTAATGACTATCCCTTCAGAGTTGGGGACTTTCAGACATGGTATCTCACCTGAGCCCCACCTCACTGCCTTCCAGCCAATGCAAACCAACAACCTCCTCCATTCTCACGTGCCCAACATCCCTGTAGGCAGGAGATGTGGGCCTGGATGCTGGCTGGACTGTCAACCTGAGATCCTTCCTTGCCACCCATAACCAGACATGAAGCTGCAAGTGACCTGGAGCACACGGCCCATGTTCTAGCAACTCAGTGCGGGGCTCAGGGCACCTTCTGGGCCCGGTAAGGTGAGGGGACACACCCATGGTCCTGTGCAGTGAAATGCTAATTTAAGTCCAGAAGCAGGGCCTGGGTCTCCAGGCTTGCAGGCTCCCACCCTTTCTAGCTTGGTATATAGCATCATCGGAGCCACTGCAGTGAGGGCACGACGTCCTCATGGCTTCAATTTCATTGTCGGAAAGCTAGGATTAACACTGAATTGGTAATGGGAGGAAAAGCAGTGTTCCATGAGGAAAGAGGGCAATTTTCTACTCCTTGGCACCTCGAAGAGGCCTCCAGCAATGGCTGGCAGCCTTTGAAAAAAATCCTTTGCACCTCTTGGCATGAGAGTTTGTCTGGCCTGTGTGGAAGTCATTTGATCCTGGGGCTGGGGGCTGTGAAGCAATTGTGAAAGTCGCTTCAAAAGTCCTGTAGGCCCCAGATCTGTTTTCTGGCTTATAAATCAGATACAAGCAAACTCTGGGCCTTGTTCTCTCTGTGGTGAGAGCTGCCACTGAAATCGCAGGGGGGCTGGGGGGGTAAGGATGCACAGGACTGCTGTTTGTTCAGGAGGGCAGTCCTCTCGCAGGGCCTGTGTCTGGGGCTGCATTGTTGCCCATCTACACTTGGGCTCCATGCCAGTGCCCATGTCGAGAGGCAACAGGCCAGGCCAGGCTCTCTGTGCTGCTCCCTGCAGCCCTTTGAGGTTCAGCTGCAGTTGTCATGGCAATAGTTCTTCAGGCCACTCTGCTCGGGCACCCTGGCTCTCCAGAGAACAGCTACTTGAGTCCCTTTCGTTCAGTCCCTTGCAGGCAGGGCCTGCCCAACCCAACCTGGTCCAGTCCAGCTGTGTCCAGGCCAGCTCAGAATCCAGAGGTTACCATTTAAGCGCTCATGAGATTGCTAAGTGATTCTACTCAACCTGTTGAAGGACGTTTCTATGTAAAACATTAACATAGGGCTGATTTTTAGCATGAAGATGCATGAAAACATTCTATGGCCCTGGTTAAAAATTCCAGCACCATTGATTCATTGCCCTGATGATTCTCCTTGGCCCTGAAAGTTGTTTTGCCCTCATTTGGGCAAACACCTCTCACTCTAAGTAGGAGAAGCGTCACTTTCCATTCAATCTATTTCCTTGGTCTCAGCCTATGCACCAGTGAGGCACAATGTCTCCTTTATAATTTTCTCCAGCGGTCCTCATGCTGCCAGCAGGAAAAATTATAGCCTCCACCGTCACTAAAGCCAAAAGTCTGGTCCAATGACCTTTGCTTGAAGACAAAATTTCTCACCACCTCACCAAAAAAAAAAATCCAGCAAAGGGCTTTGATCCTGAAAAGCATTAAAAGAAAACAACACACAAAACAAACAAACAACTCAGCCCAGCCCAGCCTCGGTTAAAGGGAGGTTTTTTTCATGTGGTTTCCTTTGCGCCGACGTGCTGTGACAGGTTCAGGATGTCTCCAACTGAAGAACACTGAGATTTGATGTTTTAGGAGAGTAAAGCTGACCGCCCAGCACAGAGCCGTGTTCAGAATCCATTTCAGAGCCCCAAGCCTCGCCTGGCAGCCGCCTCACCACATCAGCTGCCGACACTGGCAGCTCCCACCGCTTTGAGCTCATCATTCAAAGATGAATCCTGCAGCACATTTGAGTGACAGAGCTAAGATGAGAGGAGGTGAGTTTCTGGCCAGAGGGCCAGAGCGCTGAGGATGCACAAGCATGGTCCCCGCTGGCTCTGCAGCTGCAGCGGTCTGGAGTGTCCCTCAGATTCCTCCTGCGTTGAGTGCTTCTTCCTCAAGCACTGCTCCCTTTAGGGACTGGGCTAGGTGGATGAAGTGTTGCCAGCACCCTGAGTAAAGAGTGGTGAAAAAAACTCAGGATTACGCCAAATTTTACAATGCTGAAGTTGAGGGTGATGTCAAACTCACGTCTGAGTCTGTGACGAGTGTGTGCAGTGGAATATAGGCGTAAAAAGTCCCACTGAACAATGACGCCCAAGCTACACTGGCTTCGCATATTAGATTGCAGCCCCCCGAAGGGAAGAGAGACATTTGTGCCTCTTTATAACCCTGTGCTGCATTGTTATCTTGAAATGTGTGGGTGCAAAATGTCCGCTATGGTTTAAATGTTTGTCCCCTCCAAAACTCATGTTGAAACTTAATCTTCAGTGAGAGGTGGGGCCTTTAAGAGGTGATGGGGGTGACTGGGTGCAGTGGTTCACACCTGTAATCCCAGCACTTTGGGAGGCCGAGGCAGGCAGATCACTGGAG